CTAAGGAAAGCAACATCTGTACAGAGTACTGAGGATCCTGGAAATCACCCTGTATCTCAGCCTAAAGATGCGGATTTTTAAAAGGATAGTATTTTCTTCTCAAACCTCTGGGATAGCTCACGCTTAGTGAAAGAACTCGCATTATTTTGGTTTCATAAGACTCCAATGCTCTTTTCATTTTCTACCAGCTTTAGTTCAACATGTTGCAATCATTTGTTTACATGTGGCTGTCTTACTAGATTATGAGGCTTTGACCCCTTGCCTCCAGGATCTCATAATCCAATGGGAACAAAAACATGACCACTGTATAAGCCTAAGTATGAACCCACATCCACTGGAATCTGTCTATAGAGTGAGTCTATAGAGTGAGTGACTGCTGTGTGTGTGATTTTGTTTGTGTGTGTGTGTGTGTGTGTGTATGTGTGTGTGAGTGTGCACGTACGCGTGTGTGTATGTGTGTGTACAGGGCAGAGGCTGATGCTGTGTATGCTCCCCAATCGCCCTTTGCCTTATTTTGTGAAGCAGGGTTTCTCATTGAACCTAGACTTCACCAATTCAGCTAGATTAGCTTGCCAGCAAGCTCCAGGGATCCATCCGTCTCCATGCCAGCTGCCCTGCTTGCCATTTTACATGGGTGCTAGGGATCTAAACTCAAGTACTCATGCTTATACAGCAAGCACTGTACTGACCGGACCATCTCACCAGCCCCAACCACTGCTTTATCAACTAGAGCATTCCTCTACCTACAGCATTGCTCTCTCTAGCCTTGCTCCTCCTAGATAAGCTTAATGAAGACACAGTCACAGGATTACCCGGCTGCATTCTCCAATCCCGAATCACTGAATACCAGCCCAAGTTCTATCAGAAATGGTCCACTGTCTTACCAGGACACCACACATTCCTCTGGTGTATATTCCCCACTTTGATGAGCAACAATTTATTCAACCCCAGGGAGCTCCTGGTGGTCTTCGGCTAGAGGAATCGGATCGCCCTTCTCTCTTTTCTGCCCACTCAGTCTCAGAGCTCAGTTGTGCTGGAAGCCTTCATAGCTGACCTTTCTCATTTTAGTTGTTCTTTTCCTTTTGGTCGTCATAACATTTATGCTGCTCAGCTGTTGCTATTGTGCATTTCATAACACTAGCAAGCTCTGTGCTCTTCATCACTCTGTGAAAAATTCCCCGAGCCTTACTTTCTGAAATTGTGTATGAAATCTCCACAAATAGGATTATGCTCATGTATCTTATTACCCATCCTCTTACACAAACACACACACACACACACACACACACACACACAAAAGGGAATCAATTGCACTCTAGTAATCACTGAAGTAGATACAAACTTTCTTTTGAGTTTGTTGTAGAATTACATGATGTCATTTGTATTTTGTCAGTAAATCTTTTTGAGTATCTTCAAGGATAGTTCTTTTTAAGTAGAGTATGTCCTGGGCCAATTTCCCTCCCTCCCGCTCTGTCCTCTTTATCTAGTTCTTACTTTTCATTTTCCAGAGCAAAGCATCTATATGTCCAAAGGTAACTTCAGGCCTTGGCAGCTGGCAGAGGTTTTCTTCTCTTTAACTGAAGCCAACGACTAAAATTAAGCTTTCCAAACATCCGACTTGCTGACGTGTCTACCTTGCGTGATGGTATGAAGAATCTGAGGAGTGAAGGGAAAGGGAAAACCTACCAGATAATTGAGATTTTGACAAAACCAGACTTAATCTCATTGGATGACTCTCTTTACATGGTCTGCTCTGATCTCGTGCTCACCAGTTTTAAAACTCAGCTCACTGTCTTCCTTTATCACCACATGCCCGGAGGACTTCCCTGTTTCTAACTCAGACTTGAAGTTGACCTTGCCCTGCTAGGACCAGGATGACTCCTTCAAGATCCAGGATGAATTCCGGATTCTGACAGATCTGGGATTCTGTGCCAGCTCCTTCATATTTCTGTCTGGCTCCAGGAGTGCAGGCAAACAATTTAACCTCTCTGGAGATTTGGTGAGATCATATATCCAAGGTGCAGGCCTCTGCAATGTTAGCTCTTCTTTCCACACCGTGCCTGACAACTCATAGAATCCCCTCTCCCTCTGTAAAGCCCACTGTATAGTCTATTGGTTTACCCCAGAGAGATAGTTAAAGCCAAGCCAGATGGTAGAGTTCCTGTTCTCAGATCAACAATCAAACCAAAGTTGTTCTATTGATCTGCCCACATGTTCAGCTTCCTGATCCTGCTCCTATCCCCATTCCTTGCTGTAAGTCAAGCCCCAAACGAAGAATCTATACATGTGATTACTTTGCTAATACCTTACCTGACACTCTTGCCCAGTTTGTCTGTGAGCACGGATGCTCGAGACCTTTGCACAAACAGCCCCTACTCTGTACCCTCTGAATGACTTGAATGTCTGCTACTCGGGGTGTACATGAGGAGATCTATTGAGCCTGCCATTTAGTTTGGCCTGATACAGTGGATTCTGACCTTGGCTTTAAGAAATTGTATTGCACAGTGGTTACAGAATGGTCTGAGGTACTGAGATGGCAATCTGAATTCCAGCTTTATTACTTAGTGGTCAGATAACCTTAAATAAGTTATTTCCCTCCCGAATTCTGTTTTCTTACCTTAGAAGGCCCTTGAGAGGCTTAAATAATATAGTGAATTTAAAACATACAACCAGAACCTGCCATACAAGCTGAATTTTCAATAAAAATCAGTTTAGGGGCTGGGGAGATAGCTCAGTTAGTAAAGTTCATGCTGTACATGTATGAGTTTAGATCCTTAGCACTGACATAGAAAACCTGGGTGTAGTTGCATAGATCTGTAACCCTAGCACTACAGAGAGGGAGGCTGAGACAGGAGGCTGAGACAGGCAGATTCTTGAAGCTCCAGTCTAGCCAACTGGTGAACTCTGGGTTCAATGAGAGACTCTGTCTCATAAAAATAAGGTGGAGAATGAATGAGGAAGACACCCTGTGTTGACCTCTGACCTCCATACACATGTTCATACAGGAACACACACATGCACACAAATACACGGACATGCATGTACACACGAAGCCAGTTTACACATGCTCTTAGGATGCATGGTGACCACAAGCCTTATTTTTATGCAACTCAGTAGGTGTTAACTTCTCCCAAACCATGCACCACCTGTCTTCCTGGCCTGGACCTTTCAGATTCACTTAGTTCCATAAACACTTCTATGAATACAGATGATCCTTCATCCTGACATACAAATTCATCAGACTTTTGCAGTGCTACCCACACAGTCTGCTAATACTCTAATCATTTTGTCATCTTATGCCTCCTAGATGAGGCTCCAGCCTGTGCCTACTGTATCCCCTGTCCATCTGTAGGAAATCTCATAAAGTTGTGTAAATAACAGTTCTGGGTTCACCACTTCTCTTCTCAAACTACAATGCCCAAAGTAATTGTCTTCAATCTCATGACCTCCAGATGGGTTTCTGAAAATGAAATTTGTGGGCTGGAAATAAAGCACATGGATATTTACTAAAAGTACACTGCTTTTAGAGATATAGAAAAATGGTGGTCTCCCCACTCAATAACAGTCTGAAAATTACACTCCTTTTAATAAAGGTTAGACAGGAGAGTATTAGTTCCTCACAGGGCTTTCCCTTGGTTGAGAGGAGGATCTCCCCTCTAGAACTTGCAAAGCACTGGACATGAGAGTTGCCTCTGTATAAACTCCACATCACTGTGTAGAGGAGTGAAATTATCCGTACTGCTTTTTAACATTATCTATTTAAGAGTACCATGTTTTAGTTACTTTTCTATTGCTGTGATAAAATAACATAAGCAGAAGCCAGGTGTGATGGGGCACACCTTTAATCTGAGCACTAAAGAGGCAGAGGCAGGTGGATCTCTGTGAGAGCAAGGCCAGCCTCGTCTACATAGTCAGCTCCAAGTCTGCTGGGGCTACAGGGAGACCCTGCCTAAAAAAAAAAAAAATACTACAACCAGAAGCAACTCAAGAAATAAAGTTTGTTTTGGCTTCTAGTTCCAGAGTGTTATCGAGTCCATCATGGTGGAGTCAGCATGATGGTAGGCAGCCAGAATGAAGGAAGCAGGCCACTCACATTTTGTTGGCATACCAGGAAACAGAGAAAGCAAACTGGAAGTGGGACAAGGCTATGAACTCTTAAAACCTTTCCCCGGCGATGCACTTCCTCCAGCATCTTAAAAGTTCCATAACCTCCCTAAACAGTGCCCGCACCTGGGAACCAAATATTCAAATACATAAGCCTATGAGGAACATTCCTCATCCATACCACCACATATCACATCTCTGTAACATTCATAGAACTGTCCATCATAGACCAGCTTCCTACTCCCCATTGGATCACTAGCTAACCTACACACACACAGAGAGAGTTGGGCACAAGGTCCTCTCAAAGGCTAGCATTAACTACTGGACACAGAGACTAGGTCCATTACCACCAAGCCTGACATCCCAGAACCCTTCAAAGAGAGGGACTTAGAAGAGACAAGATCTCTTTATTATGAATCCCAACTCAAAGGTGCAGGCTTCGAACTACTGACAGTGATCTTTCCCAGCACACAGAAAGAGGATCTCAGGATAAAGCTGACCCAGAAATGGAGCTGAGAAATGAGCAGAGAAAGAATCCAGACCAGAGTCATGTACATCTCTGGTTCCAGGGACAACCAAAGCAAGATTCACCTTTAGAGGAAGCTCACAGCTAATAAGTCTTTTTTTTACTTAATCTACCTACGTGTGCAAATGAATCAAATGAATCCTGATCAACTCCCTTACACACAAATCCTGAGTGTAGTTAGCAGGGGACTTGACCACCCTTGGGTAAGTACTGTTCAGGGCAGGACAAGGATGACACTGCATCAGGGAATATGAAGATCCACACCTTCCCACCCTGCTTCCCACTTCTATATTCGCTGTGTAATTTCATCTCCAATGACAAAGTTTCCAAAGAATAACTTGCTACTGGATATTGGTCCAAGGATCCTCACCTTTATATAGCTTATAGCTGCTTCCCTTTTCCAGGGCACTCAAAGTTCTTAGAAGAGTCTTATCAAGGATTCAGTGGCAGTCAACTCCAGAATTCATGCTAGGGAAAGGGAGTGAGGTAAGATAAGAAGGAAGCACAGAACAGGAGCAGGTAGACTAAGCATCAATAATCAGAAACCATGACTTCTTAGGTGTTTTCAATCTCATAATAATAGATTTTTATCTTCTAGAATATAAACTAAATTTACACTCGGACATTCAACCTCCACTAAAGTCACACATCAACCTTCGCTCTCCTGTTTACTCAGGGTTTCCAAGGCAGGTTTGACCCCTTCCCATCTCCATCAGTCCTGCAGACAGGCAATGGACATGGGAACATGCTTTGTAGCATCAGTCCTGCCTTCATCACCTTTCCGCTCTAATTACTTCTGAAGGTTGTTAGGAAAATCAGTTGCTCTTATTTTTGAAAGCTCACAGAAAACCATCAAGTAGTAAGCGAAAGTGGGTATTTGTCATTTTATTTTACTGTCAACTGGGACCACCAATGTGGACCACTTGCCCCAGGCTAAACTGTCTTCATCTCCTGCTATCAGACATTTACACTTTCTCTGTCTCCAGCAATCTTCCATCCTGTCTCCCTCCAGCTCTAATACTGCAAGCTATACCTCCACACACATTTAGATTTCTCCCTGTCCTTAATTCCACTAGAACTCATATGCAGCATTTTATGAACCATAATCAGTGGCTAAGTCAAGTTGACAGCTTCCCAAGCGAAGTCCACTGGAATCTGCCATAACTGCCCTCCAGTCTGCACTGGTCTTCTGATGTCCACAGACATTCCTACGTGATCTGGGCTATGTTTACAGACTCCTTCTCGCCAGCCTAGAAACTCCCATGAGGTTTACTCTGGCTAGCATGACAGCTCAGTTAGTGTTCATCAGTGTTCTCTGAATGCTTGGGCATGTGTCAGACACTAGCAGACGAAGTATTTCTTCAGTCTAGGAACAAGCAGGTACACTTGATAAAACTGAAAGCTTCATATTCCTTAATAACACAAAGCTCTGTCCTTATACAAGTTCTTTTCCCAAAGGTATTTTGTTTGATGATTGCCTATGATATCTCCTATTTAGGGAAAGTGTAACAGGACATGAAATTTATTTTAAAACTACCTCCTTTTTTATTTTCAGCATTCTGTTTGATAAACAATGTGAGGACTTTGCTTTCTATGAGGACTTGCTTTTTAATCTTCTTATTTTGCTTAAGAGATATAAAAGGTCACATTTACTTTTCTGATCTGATTTCCACAGGCAAAATATGAATGTTTGTTCCTTTATATTGCAACCCCACGTGAATGCGTTTAGCAAATCAGTTGGGATTTATTCCTCCTGGATGTCAGAAGTTGTCTTTCTCTGTCCAATGAGCCACTGTCAAAATTTGGAAACTACACAAGACCAAATATAGTAATCTAATTCTTAGAGCACTCAAAAGCATCACTAAAAAAATTGATCTATGTTTAAATGACAAGAACAGCTGTCCCTCTTCACAATGGAAGCTCCTGATCTTGCAGCTCTTCTGATTATAAGTGTCTTATGGATATTCTGCATTTATCTAGGCCTCTCTCAGAAGCAACAGGTGAAGCTTCTCGGTGCCAACAGCCTAGAACTAACACACAGAGCCTTCTTACACACCAACTCCCTCCTTACTTAAGGCTTTCCCAGCCTGGATACAATGATAATTATAACCAGGGTTACAAATTATAGCTGAATTATCTCATAATTATGAGGTATCTAGCAGGACTCCATTAGAGAAAATCATAAACACCTCAATATATATTTTTTAAGATTAAAAAATTTAGCATTAAATTGCTAAAGTATTGAACTGCAGTTTCTATTTAATGGAAGCATTATTTTTCCTTTTCAGAGAATGCCTGATCCTCGCTTGAAAAGCATGCAAGTACAAGCAGATCCTTTGGTTTAGGGAAGGAGCAGTGGAAAAATAAAAAATTAAAAAAGAAAAAAACAAGCCTTTAAAAGTTTCAAGATGCAGCCTGCTTTTCAATAAAACAATAATATCTTTAGCACCCATAGCCAAATAAGAAACTGAAGGTCATTTGTGTGTTTTCATCATTCAAGAAATGGCAAACCATCAAAGGAAGAAGATTGATACCTACTGGTAACATTTATGCATAGAACACCATGGCCAGTCTACCTCAGAACTTGTTCTGACTGCAAAATCAAGAGTTCAATACTCTTCATTGACAGATAATAATATTTACTGATTCTTGAAATGTTTTCTGCTGATGCTGCAATCAACTACTGAAGATCTTCAGAAGAAAAGACAAGGTGAGCCAGGCATATTTAGTTTTGAAATACACCAGAGCAAGGTGTACAGGGACTGCACCCAGTTACTCCATTATATCTATATACCAGACTAAGGTGTACAGGGACTGATTCAAGTTACTTAATTACCCATGTTGCTGCCTTCCTCTCTGACATTATCAGTACCTAGTACTGAACAATGAACTGTTTTCAAGACACACACACACAAACACACGCTTCTAAATCAGAGCAAAAACCAGAATGCCTGCACCTACACAATGAGAAGTGTTGGCGTGAACAATTAATTATTGCAAAAGAATGATTAATGAAGCAAACCCTGCAAGTCCTTTTCAGTTAAGGACAGATGACATAGGGAGGATAGTCGTGCTGAATTCACAGATAATTGCTGCTTCTCTTCATGTTGCTTATGCAGGTATGATCACAAAGAGATATTGTTCTAGGAACCCCTGCTACACTTTATTCTACCACAGATTAACGCTACAGTCATCCTCACAAAGAATGCTGACTCCGGAACTGAGACAAAGGAGGGTGTAGCTGGGAGACACCGCGCCAGGCGCCGCTCGGAGTCTCCGGGTTCTCGCAGGCTGCCCGGCACCGCTATTCCCGCGCTAGGGGGACCTAGAAGTCCGGAATGGATGGCGGACTTGGTTTATTTCCTAAACTTCGGGAGCCAATGTTCCCCCTAACTCTGGAGGCTGAAGCAGAGCGGAGGGGAAGGTGCTGCCGGGTCCGCCCACCCCCCTCCGCCCGCCCTGCTGCCCCCGGGCCGTCCGCTCACCTGTCCTAAGCGCGGGGTCCCGGGGGTCCGTGTCCTCTCTGCTCTTCACGAGAGCTGTCGCGACGCCAGGCACCTCCGGAGACCAGCGATGGAGGCGGCGGGGTCGGGGGCGTCAGGCGGAATCTGGGCAGCCGCGGGCAGCCGCGCTCTCGCGCTCCATCTCCGCGGGGCTCCAGTGGCGGACGCGGCGCGATGACCGACCGGGGGAGGATGAGTCAGGCCGGGGTGCGGGCGCCCCGGAACATGCTCCGGGGGGACGCGGCCGCAGCCATTCGACACGCGGGATCCCCGCGCCCCTGCCCTCCCCGGGCGAGCGGGTCGCAGCTAAGGCGTCGCCGCAGCTGCCAAGAAAGACAAAAGGGACCCCCGGCTCGGAGGGAAACTTTGGGACTCCGCTCCGGAGAGATCCCAACCACCAAACGCCTCCAAAGAGGAGGATGGGGCCGGGGGGCGGGGGGCGGAGACGGGCTTCCTGAGCGTCGTGGCACTCCGGGGACAAGGACGGTGTCAGTCGCGCCGCCGCCTACGACTCGTGGGAACTCCCCCGGTCCCGCCGGCCCGCGGTCCCGGGAGGATGCAGATACGATTAGCTCTCGCCCTCCCGGACCCCCAGTGCTGCCTCCGCGCGCATCGGCCGCAAAGTTGCACTTCTAGGGCCGGGATGGCCGGCACATAAAACCTATCTTTGGAAACAAAGTACCGCTCTTCTCAGGCACTCTTCCCCCGGCTGAAGGCCAGAGGGCGGAAGCTGACACACCCACTCGCCTCTCCCCCCGCCCTTCCCGGACCCGGGTTCTAGAGCCAGAAATTCCCCGCTCCTCCTGTCCGGAGGAGTACTGGGGGACCCGGAGCCGATTCGGGTTTGCTGGGAGCAGGCGCCACGGGACCCTCGGCTCCACGCCCCTCTGATGCTTTCTCATCAGATGCCGCCTGAGCGGGTCGGGGTCCCCCTGGCGGCTGCGCGGATGCTGCGTGAACAGATCCAGATCTGACCCTAAGCGGATACAGCATGCCCTCTCCGTCTGCACCACCCCAGCCCCCGGGGAATTCAGCTGCACACGGGTCCTAAGAAAGAGGATCTCCCGGAGAGTGGATGAGGGAGCGAGGGTTCCGGGAGCACCAGAAATAGGGCCGATTGGAACCTGAGCGTTCAAACGAAGGGCGCTGAGGTTCAGCTCCAGACATCAAATCCAACCAGAGCTTCAAGCTATTCCTCCTCATCCAAAGTTATCAGTGAATGGAAACCTTGCTCTAGTCGCAGAGGAAAATAATAGTTACCTGCAATTCCGCAAGAGACCGAAGCGATGACTCTAGATGAAGGTCAACTCAATAAATAAACTTTCATCTTCCAGCTAATGCATCGGGATGTGCAGAACGCACCAACCCGAGCTGGGCTTTGACAAACTTCTGAGTCCCTTAGATGTTTTTAGGTGATAGACAAGAAGGCAAACAAAATATTCTGGTATGGTGTGTGCATATATTTCAGTGTGTGATCTGCTGATCTCCTTTTCCAGAAAAGACTATGGAAAGGGTATTCCATACAAAAGTGTCTACACTAAAAGAAAAAACACTATAAAAGGCTCCTTGGGCCGAGGCAGGTCAAGGTGACACCCTATGGCAAATGTGTTTACGGTGGTGAAACCTTGCTTTAACTAAAAGAATGTGGAGGCTGAATACTTTAAGTAAAAAAAAAATTCACCACCAAATGCTTAAAAAGAAAATTAAGCAAGTTGGGATGGGGGTTGGAGAGATGAGTCACCTCTCAAACCATCTGTAGTTTTCTTTTTCTCCCACCTGCCTCTAGTACTCTTTAGCTCACAGCCACTTGCTCAAGTCTCAGGTTTTCTTATATATTTGTCAAGGAATCCCATTAAAAGAGTGAGTTTGCCAGGCGTGGTGGCACATGCCTTTGATCCCAGCACATGGGAGGCAGAGGCAGGCAGATCTCTATGAGTTCAAGGCCAGCCTGGTCTACATAGCGAGTTCCAGGCCTGCTGGGGTTACAGGGAAACCCTGTCCCAAAAATCCAAAAAAAAAAAAAAAAAGAGTGAGTTCACTGGTCTTCCCTCCTACCTGCTACCTCTACATTTTGTGATGATATATTCCAAATCTCTCCTTCTACCTAAAGCTCCCAAGAGTGAGCATTTGTGGTAACCCTCCCTATTCATTCTTGAGGAATGAATAACAGGTTCCCAGCTCCAGGGAGTTCATTTAACATGACACTTATCAAAAACATGGAATGAGATGTTTAAAAATGGCTATCAGGCTATTTTAGGCATTTCAGTGACCAAGCAGTGCTCAAAGAGAGACCTCATCCTGTCACCACTGATAATACTTATCCATTTCTAAACTCAGATGTCAATGATTCAACCAAAAAGATGAACTAAATAAGATCATCAACATTAAATTATTTAAATTTCATTTAAAAATAATTACCATTAATCTTAGTAGTAAATTGCCCTCTAGAGGATTAGCCACAGTTCAGTAATCCAAGCAACTCCCAAGATTTAGCTGTCAGTTTCTCTCTGGCATTTAGTGCTCTAGGCAAGCTCAGATAAATTATTTAATCTTTGCTAATGGCTAATATTTTTCCATCTGAAAAGAACCCAGTGAACATACCATGTGTAGGTAATGGATTTTGGATTCAGCTCCATATCCACTTTTGAAATAGTGGATGGGAATCATCTGTTTTCTACTTCTGACTATAAAAGCTGCTGAATTTTACACACAATTATTTTGGGGTGTATCTGTCTGAGATGTGTAACCGTCTCCTGGAACAAGTCCATCTTAAAAGATTACACAAAGATATAACTTACCTAATACCAGAAAGATTTTGAATGTCAATTCTCTTATTCCTTAAGTAGAAAAAAAAACACCTAATGTGAAGTTAATTAAAATAGTGAATATGAGATTCTTCTTACCTGTTACTCAATATAGTTCATTGACAACACACACACACACCACACACATACACAAATCAAACTTGCTATAATGATATAATTTTTATTTACAAAAGCACCAAAAACAACAATAAAGCTCTTCTTCTGGCACTTGAGAAAAATGTTTAACTATGAAGGTCAATATTTTAAATATAAGTCTAATGAGTGGTAAGGAATTTTTAATGAATTGTAGAAACATAGATTGGAGTGAAAATTCATGGATATTTTTATTAAGATTTTAAAAGAAATGCTTATTTGTTTGTGTCTGTACCTGTATATCACATGTGTGAGGGCACCCATGGAGGCCAGAATAGCATGCCCTTGGGAGCTGGAGTTATGAGTAATTGTGAACCACCCAATATGGATGCTGGGAACTGAACTTGGGTCCTCTGGAAGAACAGCAAGTACTCTTTAACAATTGAGCCATCCCTCCAGCCCCTCCTGAGTACTTTCTTTTGTTTTGTTTTGAGACAGGGTCTGTCTGTGGCCAAAACTGGCTTTGAACTTGTTATGTCAACCAGGCTGGTTTTTATCTCATAGAGATCTGCCTGCCTCTGCCTTTGAGTGCTGGGATTAAAGGCATGCATCAAGTTCTTCATACGTATTTTTAAGTAGATCAGGTACAAGGCTAAGAAAAATCTATTCGTTTGGGTGACATTAAACCATTTTCCCCCAAGAATGCAAATTATATTGTCCTCAGACCTGAAAAGGGTTCCCAACCTGAAAGTGAAAACAGCCATTTTGTCTGAAATGCTTTGTTCTAACTATGAAACAGATTGAGAGTCTGAAAGCCCCTTCCTACACCACTGGCAACTGTGATCATGACTCAAAGCAGGGGCAAAGAAAAATAAACTCAACTGAGAAAGCAAACCTTCTGATTTTATCCTTAAAATAAAAGTTGAAAAAATACAGGAAGAAAAGAAGCTAGTGTGAATACATACCGAAATATGTTGAATTCCTTTTTATTTCACTTTGACTGAATAGCACTTTGTCATGTATTTATTTTTCACTGTCATTGGCTAATAGTTCAGAGGGTTTAGCAGCAGCAACTAGTTTCTGTTCAAATGCACAAGTAAGAGTGCCAGCTCCTCTCAAGTAGCTGTCTCATAATGCTGACACAGTGCCAATCCTGGGATATTTTATAAGTTCTGTGTTAACTTCCTTACTAGATAAACTTGATCAAATTCCTTTTTTCTGAAGAGCACTGGCAGAATAATATTTTTAAATACCACAAGGGGCACTCTCTCCCTTTTAAAGCCCTACTTCTTTCCTCTAGACAGGCTTGTACTTGCATTTATGGAGGGACCACCACATGGCTTGCAGCAACCTCAGAAGTAGTTTTTTTTTAAAAATGCCCTGATAAGGCATTTTCTGTGATTAGGCTCGGCTCTATTTACAGAAAATAGAGAATTCATTGAAATGAGGGGTAACATGGTAGTAATGCCCCACTAACTCTGCTGTCCGTGGTCCTGAAACAGTCCCTGTTCATTTGTGCCTGATCAGTATGATCAGTTAGTTTGACATCATTGGGGAACAGTTAGAACAGTAGGATCTTGGGTTACACAGTGCAATCTTACTGAATCACACTCTGCAGTGAAATGGTATTCATAGGTGATTGGTTTGGTTTACACATTCAAAAAATTTTAATATATTTTTATTGAGTTTTCATGTTTCATATAATAGAACATAATCAAATTTAGACCTCCTCCACCATCTGTGCTCCATAGAGTCCCTCCCACCAGGTTTCATACACTCTGCTATATATGTTAAGTACTATCCAGTCAAACATTTGTACCCAGATGTCCTTTGGTGCAAGTTCATTCACTGGAGTCTAATCAGCCTATCTATAGATCTTAAAGAAGATCTACTCTTCCTCACCCAGCAGTAATCAGTTGACAATAGCTTCTAGGCCAAGGTTGGAGCCTGCTGCCCATTTCCCTCATTCTATGCTGGGTTTTTGTCTGATTGAGACAACATGGGTCTTGTGCAGGCAGTCACCATTGTTGCAAGTTCATATGAGCAAGTTCCCAGTGGCCTGAAAGCTTCTGTTTCTTTATGTTCATGCACCAACTCTGGTTCTTACAGTCTTTCTGTCACCTTCCTCCACCCCACACTGCCATCTTCTGCAATGGTCCCTGTGGTGTTTTGAATGAGAATGTCCCCCATAAGCTCCAAGTATTCGAACATTTTTGTCCCCAGTTGGTGGCGCTGTTTTGGGAGGAAGCACATTACTGGGGGTGGACTCAGAGTATACTTAAGCCTTGCCAGGTCGCCAGTCTTTCTCTGCTTCCTGTACCTGCTTGAAGATGTGAGTGCTTAGCTTCTGCTCCTACTCCAACCACCTCCACTGCCATGCCTCCTGGCCATGATGGACTCTTGCCCCTTTGAAACTATAAGATAAATAAACTCTTTCTTTTATAAGTTCCGTTGGTAATGGTGTTTCTATCACAGCAACAGAAAAGTAGCTAATAC